AAAGGGAGATGATTTATCTCTTCCCTTTCTGCAATGACTAGTAACTGCTTGAGATCTGGTAGGGGATTGGTAACTTCTTGAAACTGTATTGCCTTTACCTTCTTCCTATTTCTGACATTCTATGTAAGCTTTTATTCATTAATGTGAATAATCCTCCCCTTCCTTTGTTGATAAGTCAGTATAAACTTTGTTTTGGGTTGATCAATTGGGTTGGTATTTTCCTCTATTCATTGCTTTCAAGGGTCAGGGAAGCCCCTAGATAGTGGAATAAGCAAAAGAGATGGAGGAACATGAATTTCTACACCTACAGGACAGAAACAAACATGGAAGAAAAAGATCCCAGACCTTGTGGACAGCCATAGGCAGCTATTATATAAGAATAGTAATGGAACTTACCGGCTATGTCTGAAGATTCCACTGATGGAAAAATGGAAGGGGAAAAAAGAAAAGGAAGAAATCAGCATGTTTAGAACCAAGAGAACTCAGTTCTCCCATGATAGGCTTTAAAAGGGTAACTGCAAAGAGAATGGTACAATATCTGGGCCTAAAGGCTCTGCTTTGTACTTTGTACCCTCAAACCTGTTTCTGCTGGTCTGGGATAGGATTGTGGCTATGAAGTGTTGAAGTGAGGCATTATTTATCATTCTCATTCCATTCAGGAATGGTAATGCTTGAAATGCTTCTAAAGGTTCATAATGTCTTAAACTTGTACGTCTATATACTTTCATGTTTCTCATTTTCTTTAGTCACTCTTTCCTACCTGTCCTGTTCATTGATTTGTAAAGTCTTCATCGTACTGATTGTCTTTACTTGGCCTATTGGGAGCCACTAATTTTTCTTAAAATCTTATAAATTTTAATCATGAATTTTTCACTCTTCTCCCAATCTCCTATAATTTTGGGGAAATTTAGGAAGAAATAAAAATATTTATAATTTTCTTTCTTTTGAGACAGAGTCTCACTACATTGCCCTTAGTAGAGTGCTGTGGCATCACAGCTCATAGAAACCTCAAACTTTTGGGCTTAAGTGATTCTCTTGCCTCAGCCTCCCAAGTAGCTGGGATTAGAGGCACCCAGCACAGTGCCCGGCTTTTTTTTTGTTGTTGTTGCAGTTGTCATTGTTGTTTAGGTGGCCCAGGCTGGGTTTGAACCCAACACCCTTGGTGCATGTGGCTAGTGCTGTAACCACTGTGCTACGGGCACTGAGCCTATAATTTTCATTTATGCACTGTTATATTTTTAAAGTGTTTACACATAGGGGTGAGGGAGTTAAGCAGGAAAGAAAGGAAGGGCCACATATCCACATAGATTCTCTGACACATGGTGGCTAATAGGGGACTTTAGGACTGGATGGGTCCTTTCCTTTAGCCCAGTGAGATCCTCTCGGTGGGATGGCTTCTAATTTTTTTCTCTCTGTAAGAATTTTGAGAACTTCCAAGGCAGAAGGTCTTGGCAATAAGTATGAGTGCCAAGGGAGCCAGCCTTGATTGAGGGGCATCGTCAATAAGTGATGGCTCTTATTCATTCATTAGAAGGATATTTAGAATCAGCATGTAGGGCAGAAAACATCAAGTTTTAATGGTTATAATATTATGGTTGTGTTGGATGCTACCTGCCCTCTCAACAATTTTGAGTTTGTTTTTCCTAGATAATCTTGTAATCTTGTTCGTTCTTCCTAGATACTCTGTGGTACTGAGGACAAACTACTTCTTTCTCTTATTTATGGCTTTATCTCTAGTGCTCATCTCAGTATCTGATGCACATCTCAGGCTAAATGAAGAAATATTTATTTGAATATACCTGACTTGCCTTCTTATAATTTTGGAATGCTATTGCTTAATTTCTAGACTCAGAATTCCCCATGTCCAAGGGTTGGTTTTGACACCCTATATTTTGACATTGGCTTTTCCCTAGCTAGTTACAATATGAAATTTCCCTTTGTTCTCTTCCATGTAGGGTGTGTGGTTGCCTGATGTTTCTGCCTGTTTCTCTAATTGCAGCACAACTACTGTCATATCCTGTTCCATGAAGTGCTCCTTGTCTCTCTTTATTTTTGTCTTTGTGTATGTGTAGGGTATGTGTATATGTTGGTGGGTGGGCGGTGAGGGGTTGAGGGTTATTAGGAGTTGGGGGCAGGACAGGACATGAGGAAAGAGAAAGGCCTTTGGGAGAATACTGGGGAACTCAGGGTCGTGGGCTAGGCCGTGACTAGTATTTGCTAGTAGGCTTGCATCAGGAAGCTGAAAAGACTTCAGTCTATTTAAATTTATTGTCTTTTCCTCCTTTTACATTTATTTTTAAAATTTGCTTTTTTCATTTTCTCTATATTGTCTGCATTACCTTGAGTAGGCCTTTTAGAAACTACAAAGCACTTCAGAACTAAAATGCTGCCTTTAAAATTCTTTCTCTGTTACTTTAGAAAGTTCTTCTATATTGTTGTATAAGCCATTCATGACTTACTGGGGGAATATCTTTTTTCTGTACTTTTTTTTTTTTAGAGACAGGATCTTGCTCTGTCATCTAGGCTAGAGTGCAGTGGGGCATTATAGTTCACTATAACTGCCAATTCTGTGCTCAAGCTGATCTTCCTGTGCCAACTATTTAAAAAAAAAAATAGCCCTGGAGAATTCTCAGAGGGTAGAAACTGTGAAGCATGAGTCTATCTCTAAAACTGTTGCTCTTAAGGCAACAGACATTCAGGACAAGGAAGAAGCTCTCTAGATTCTGTAGAAGATCAAGGAACACAGAAGTGAAAAAATTGATAAGGTACTCACCACAGGGGCCAGGATATTGTACTAAAAATAGAAACAAACAAGTTATTGTGGCCGCTGAACATAAAAAGTACTGGTACTATTGATGTTTTCCAGAGGAGGGAAGTGCAAACAATTTTCTCAGGAATAACTAAATCTGCATTCAGGTCCTGCTACTGGACTATATAGCCTCTCCATAAGAGTCACATCTACCTCTAGAAGACTTGTAACTGTTTTCATTAGAAGGATAACCACTTAATTCTAGCTTTTCATCATAGGTGCTGGAGGTGAAATTCTTAGTTATATTACTTTTTTTATCTTCCCTCATTCTTTCTTCCTCCTGTCACTCTTGTTTCACTCTTCTAATCATCTTTCTTTTATGCTTTTGCCCATTTTTTACATCCTTCTCCAGATCTCTCTCTTACATCTTTACTTTGGAAGACTCTTATGATAATTATTGACAAACTGCTATAATCATTAGAAATATGCCGATTATGAACTTTAAGGTAATGTGATTTCCATAAAATATGATTGGTTGCTTAGAGAGATGGTTAGGATATAGCAAAATGAAAGTCTGAAAGTCCAAATAATGTGATTTTCAGCTTCCTTTTGAGTCAGAGTGTCACTCTGTCGTGCTGGCTGGAGTGCAGTGGTGTCATCACAGCTCATTGCAACTAAGACTGCTGGGCTCCAGCAATCTTCCTGTGTCTACCTCCTGAACAGCTAATGTGTGCCACCATGCCCAGCTAATTTTTCTACATTTTGTAGAGATAGGGTCTAGCTTTTGCTTAGGCTGGTCTAGAACTCCTGACTTTAAGCAATCCTCTTGCCTCAGCTTCCCAAAGTGTTAGGATTACAGGTATGAGACACTATGCCTGGCCATTTCCAACCTCTTTAACTCAGAAATGTAAATAGTTGTAGCCAAAGTCCTTTAGACATAAGAGGAAGCCACTAGAGATAAGTGGATATAGATATATATATACAACTTACAGAGAGGTCCTGTAGTTTGCACTAAAAAGAAATTCAAATTGTCATATTAGTGTGATTATTTGATTGAAGAATATCGTTTTTATTAATTTTTTTCTAGGGATGAGGCTTTATGGGGTAGAATAGAGGAGAGGAAGTAATAGCAGTTATGAGATCAATAGGAAGAACTAATCCCACTAGGTTAACTGTAGAGCAAAAGGGATATTTAGCATTTAGTACAGTATTTCAGCCTGAAATATAGGTTTCTATAAGATCCTTTTCAACCTAGGAGATATTAGGGAAAGGTGAAACTTTGTTATCAGGTGTTGATATTAGGGATCAATATTATTTCAGGAAAAGGCAAACCCCTTTTTGTCAGTAAAATAGAAGATACTGCTTTCTTAGGGGACTGCTTGTGTACTAAAAGCTTTATTTTTGACCAAATATGTTTCAGGGGTAGGCATTAGGGTAGGAGGCAATGATCTATTTCCCCCTTCTTGTAACTTCCAGCTATTGGGTACTGACAGAGTGGTTACTGCTGCTTTGACTAGCTTTAGTGTCTATAAGCAAAGGGCCAAGAAAACTTTCAATTTTTAATGAGAAGTTAGCTGTCAATTGATTTTCTAGCTCTTATCCCGTGGTGACTTGATGAAGATTGAAAGCCTGGCCAGGCATGGTGACTAAAAAAAAAAAAAAAGATTGAAAGCCTGTTACTTGGTGTCATTACTTATGTAAGAATGATCCTTGATTAGTAAACTCTGTCTGAAGTGGGAGAAGTATAAATAGTTAAGAAGCCATAGCTTTGGGTTTCCCTGAGGGTGGTGACTCATATTTGAGCGTATTCCTTAGGGGATTCTTGCAGGTAATGTGTATGGGGTTCTTATAGGAGATTTTAGCTCCTAGGGACCTGTGTGGCTTCTAAGCCAGGGAAGCCCCACACTCAACTGATGGGAGGCCAAAGAGAATAGTTCTTAGGTGGCTATGTGGATACTTGCATAGATCATAGAGTAGTGAGGGCTACTCCTACAGAAGAGGGATGGCTGATAGTGCCCTGTTGGCAAGGCCCTATTGTGCATAGGTGCACAGGCGGGCTATGATAATCTTGTGAATCTGCATGGTTAGATGAATCACAAAAGACAACCCCTGGGCATTGCAGTGTCTTTCTTTTCCATAGTCCCTTACTACAAGGGCACTCACCATGTTAAATATCCCAGTCAGGACCCATAAGCCTTAAATCTTTTTAAACATTTTTTTATTTTTATTTTTAAACAGATCATCGGGAAGAATCAGATAAGAGCAACCAGGGTGTTGCAAGTCCTGGTTATGCAGAGACGTATAATCACGTATCATGTGAGCTCCAATCATCATTTTCTAATCTGTTCTCCATAAGGAGAAATAGGTAAGGATTATCCCACTTGATGACTATAAGTCTTAAATCTTTAACTCTGAATTTTTTTCTGTGTAAAACAGCTAGAAGGTATTTTGCTAGCTCTGAATATCCTGGGCTATGAGCCATGGGCAAGTTAGAAATTTAGGTATTTTTAAAGTAATTTAATATTTGCTTTGACTATAACTGTAAATACATGCCTTTGATTCCTGAAGTAGAACTCTTAGAACATCTGCCCTCTTGACCTAAGTTACTAAATCTTGGATAGGTTATCACTTCAAATTTTGTTTTGTTTCTTCAGTTCTCCTATTGTTTTTTCCCTCCTTTCCACTCTTAGTTTGTAACTTCTTGTACCCTTGCTTTACTTCCCTATCTCAGCTGTATTTATGCCCATTTATCCTTCTTTTTTCTCCTGTGTGCCAATTCACTTAATCTTTCTTCTTTCAATTTTCTTCCCATTTTTGTTCTTTCAAAATTTTCTTCAACTTATCTCTCCTTAACCTGCATCTTCATTCTCTTTACTCCTTGTATTGCTCTTTCTCTCATTGTCTTTCCCTATAGGCCTTTTTAACCCTTTTATCTCAAATTAGAAGTTCATTTTATTCATTTTTAGTAATCTATTACGACATCCAAAAATGGTAGTGGAAAGAACTAGGAATCTATGAAACTTTAGGTCTTAATTTTATTATTAACTACCTCATTTTTCCTCCTCCTCCTTTCTCCTTTTTCATTTTTTTTTTTTAAAGAAATGACTCCTAACCCTCTGTTTCCTTATCTTTAAATATGTGTATTATTCCTGTCTTACCTACTGCCATTGGAATGTTGTGTAGATCCAACAGTAAATGCACATGTGATTAGAAAAACATTATTAAGACATTATTAATAACATTATTAATAACTCAAAAAACATGGCTAGGTACAGATATAGGTCTCTTATTCATTCTGTCACATGAATATGGAGGAAACTCAAATCATGTTACTTTAGCTTTGTAATTTAAAAAATTCCTAATTTTTGTTAGTAATGTTATAATCCAGTATGTGAAACAAGCTATTTGTACACGGATGGGTTTTAGTTTATAAACATGTAATTGTGAGCAATTATCTCTTAGAACCTACTCATTTTGTGAATAATTTTTCTATGGAAAAGTATAATAAGGCAAGTTGCTAACAGTTGGTGAAAATAAAACCTAACTGTTTTGCAGACAACTTTTCAGAGCAATTAAAATGAAAGATAACTTAAAATTTTTACTAGTTTACAAAGTGAAGGTAATCTAATCATGGAAAAAGAAGGTCTTTATCTTATGTATGTTGGCTCTAAAGAGCTAGATATGTATACTTAATGGAAATAGGTCAGGAAAGACCATATCTCTGGCAGGTACTTTTTCACCTTGCATTTCAGCTTCATAGTTAATATCTTTTTATTGCAGAAACAGGGTGAATCCAACCTAGAGGAGTTCTGGGTGGGGTTATAAGGTGGCAGAAGCACTGGATCCCTGAATCTGTGGGCACAAATCATTAAAATAAAAAAAGACTGACATTCTAAGTATTCTGAAGAACCAAAAGGCATTGAAATTGAGACTCAGATGACTTACCGATGGTTTTTTGAGAGAGCTCTGAACACACAAACAAACAAGAAATAAAAGAAATTAGTGGGTGATTTCAGGCTCTGGAGACCTTATTTCTTATTTATGTACTTTCCTTACTAAGAAGCTGCATCACTAAGCTCATGGTCAGCTGCAGTTGGGTAGTAGAAATGTTGACTTTTTAGCTGGGATGCTATGGCAAATAGCATGGCCTAATACATGTAAAAGGCCTCTCCATTTAAAGCAGCAGTTCTGCAACCTGTGGGTCATGACCCCTTTGGGGGGTGGAATGACCCTTTCACAGGGGTTGCTTAAGACCATCGGAAAACACATATTTCAGTTATGAAGTAGCAAAACCTGAAGTAGCAATGAAAGTAATAATAATTTTATGATTGGGGGTCACCACAACATGAGGAACTGTATTAAAGGGTTGTGGCATTAGGAAAGTTGAGAACCACTGATTTAAAGGATCCACTGAGAGGGTAGCTGCAAAGGTACTAAGCAGAGGTCACCCTTTGGACCATTTAAACCCACCTAGGGGATTAGGAAAATCCTTATCCATTTAAATTTTCTGTTCTTCCTTTCTCCTATTATTTCACTACTTGCCATCTCTTGTTTTTAAAATTATTTATTTATTTATTTATTTATTTTTCAGTTTTTGGCCAGGGCTGGGTTTAAACCTGTCACCTCTGGCATATGGGGCCAGCACCTTACTCCTTTGAGCCACAGGCACTGCCCAAAACTTTTTATTTTTTTAAAAAAAGATGAGGTCGCTCTATGCTGTCAGGGCTGGTCTCAAACACCTATCTTAGGAGATCCTCCAGCCTCAGCCTCCCAAGTACCTGGGATTGTTTTTCACATCACAAAAGCCCTCTGTGTGGTGCCAATAAGCCAACAGAAAACTTCTAGAGAGTTCATCTTCCAGTTTGTATTTATCAGTGAAATGTACATTCTCAGAATCCTTTATGACTTACTGAAATGTTAGGTAGAAGAAAACCAAAAGGCCAAGAAAATGTGAATTCCAAGCCCTTGAAACCCAACATGGAAACCAGGTAGAGAACCTTAAGGTACTATGAGAAATTAAAATGCCCCACAGTGGAGAGTCAGACAGCAAACTTACTGATAGGTCCTGTTGCTCCAGCTGAGAGAGAGAGAGAGAGAGAGAAAGAGAGAGACAAAGAGAAAAGTATCAGTATGTTTGATGACTGTGAAGGAATTACTGGTTTCCCAGCACTCACTCCATAAGGGGCTGGGAAGATCAAGTTCTGCTTATAAGGTAAGCCTAAGGCAGGCTTCCTATTTTTTTTTTTTTTTTTTGAGACAGAGCCTCAAGCTGTCACCCTGGGTAGAATGCCATGGCTTCACTGCTCACAGCAACCTCCAACTCCTGGGCTCAAGCGAGTCTCCTGCCTCAGCCTCCCAAGTAGCTGGCATCAGAGGCGCCCGCCACAACGCCGGGCTATTTTTTTGGTTGCAGCCATTATTGTTGTTTGGCGGGTCCGGGCTGGATTCGAACCCGCCACCTTAGGTGTATGTGGCTGGTGCCTTAGCCACTTGAGCCACAGGCCGCCGAGCCAGCAGGCTTCCAATTGCACAGTGCAGGGGACTTATAGGAATGCAAGACCTGTGCTTGTTTTCAGTGCTGGCTGAAAACCTTCAGAGGACTGGGAAAGACTCACTTCATATTAATTTCTTATGCTTCTATTTTTCTTCCTACATTTTTCTCCCTCACGTCCCATCATTTTCTTGGAGACATATGGTTTATTTGGGAAGTGTGTCTTCCCTGGCTAATGAGTCATTATAATTGTTATTAAGATGGCTGTTTTCTTTTGTATTTTTTATGTTGACCTGTGGGATTGGCTAATGCTTCATGCAGAGTCTCACTGGAAACCGAGCAACAGGAATGTGAGGAGAGTTGAGAAACATGGTATCAGGAAGCAGGGCAGATCAGGCCCCAAGTCCCAAGTCTTTGTAGGTCACATATGAAAGGGAGCAGAGAAGTGGACTTGATACTTACGGATAGGTGTGAATTGCACTAAAATACAAAAAGGAGAAAAATCAGTGTGGCTTATCATTAACAGAATTTTCATACCACTAGTATTCTTTCCAAAGAAACCATGAAGGAAGTCACCCAGAGGCAGAACAACTACCGTGGGACTGTAGATAATTTTAGCATGGAGGCCCCATGACCCTCCCACCAGATCAAGTCATTTCATATTCATTATAAGTGAGAAATTTAAGTAGTTAAGAAATAAATAAAAATCTAAATAATAAAGTTTAAA